GGAAGTGGATAGGGTTGGGTAAAATTAAGATTTCTCACTGTCGAAAACGCATCTTGCACTTTCTCTGTTACTGCAAACAAAGCAAAGTAATCGAGGAAGAAATTGAATAATTTTTAAAAGGCAAAAGTTTGTTAACTGCAGCTCAGCCTCTGCAGCATTTCCTTTACTGCAAACTGGTTTACTCAGATTTGGTTCCCTGCCTGCTTTTAACATTAAAGCTTCTCCCAAGTTAAAGGGCAGGGGGAAAGTTAGTCTCAAAGTAGTGCAAGGATGCTAGTTACAGTGTGCATGTGTGTCTAATTGTGCAATGGTAGTTTGGGCTGTTTTGGGATTATTTTTTTTTTAGCCTTGAGACAATCTGGGTAAGAGATCTTAAAATTCAGCACTAGGTAAAATGCAGTGAAAAATATCAACCAGGTCACAGAGGAATGTCTGTAAATTTTTTTAGAACAAGTTTGATGCTGAAGGAGCCAAGGGAGCACAGCACAGCTCCTTTCTCTCTTGCTGAAGTGAATTTTCATTCACATGTACTTCTGAAAACTGATAATTACTTATTTATGGTATGTAAACTTTGTTTCGAAGAACTGAGGCCATCAGTAAGGCATACTGACCACGTTCTATGCACAGTACTATCAAGAAATGTCTGTTGTGCCACGATCCATTCCTGGAAAACATTTCTTTTCCCAGTGTGTAATATACTCGCTAGAGCTTAGAAGCCACTGTGAAATGGTTTCCACTGTTGTCTCAATTGAAAAATGCTTCAAGGGCTTGCAGAAACTCTGCCACTTTTTACTCCAGCCCATATGCACTTGACACTAGGGCATAATTTAAAGAAACATCATCTCCATTTTCCATTTCTATTCTCTATCCCCAACACTTCTACATTTACAAGTAGTCCAAAAGTCCTAATTTATAGAAGTACAACTTTGTTTTCTTCAGGTAATTCTGAGAGAGAAATTAATTTAGCTGTTTCCAGACTCACATTAAGTACAGCAACTCAAAAACAGCATTCCTGTGCTTTACCTCCAGTTATATTTCTGTGGCTTGTTTTTTGTCTGAGGAAGTTATTTGCCTTCTAACATTTATTCAGTAGTCTGTCTTGAGCTAGTGAGTAATGAAAAAAGCCCCCAGTATCTCAGTCTTACATGCCTTAGTCCTCTAGTCCTAGAGCTGATTTTAGTGACGAGTGAGGGATTATGCTGCACTGATAACTCTGTGCATCCATGGTACTTTCCAGTCATGGATTGTACAGTAGCAACCTCAGCATTCATGAGACACCATTAGCTTCTCAAATAGGAGCTTCCCTGTTCCTAATCAAACACCAAGGCACAGCACAGATAAGGGGGGTGATGGAACTGTGGAGTTTGCACTCCTGCTGATAAAGTCCATGTTCTGTGTTTTCAGTGACTTGGTTCTTGTTCAAATGCACTTTTCCATACTAGAAATGAAAGCATGCCAAATATCGTGAAGTAAGGGCTGTGGGACCTAGGCAGAACAGGTACAGGCTGGCATGAGTGAAAGCCAAGTTGCACTGAAGGTAAGAGGAAACTTGATAAAACATAGCAGCCCAACCAGCCTAGAGGAGATAAATGGAAACTCTGAAGCTCTGCAATAACCCAATAATCAGTACAAAATTCAGACAAAGTACCAAGCTGAGGAAACTCACCAAGGTTTAGATGGAATATGAAGTCTTCCATCCATATCTGTTGTGGAATTTGTCATGGCACTTTCTTCTTGCTAAGACTGATGTAGGATTGGTTGTTTGTAAAACAGGAGCTCATCTCAGTCTGGTTGAGAAAAACATTCAAGTGTTGAAGGACTGTTAGCAACATTTCACACAGGCAAGGAACTCTAAGCTCAAAACAGGTATATTTGGCCTGCTGTTAACTAGGATCTTTGCACCAACAGATCACATCAGCTGCTCAAATGCAA